CACACATCATAGCAACCGGTTGTTTGGTTGTTCGGTTGTTCCAGTGTTTGGTCTATTTGCATATTAGGGTTTTATATAGAGAGATCACTGACTGTTCCCTGTGTGTGCCTCCCATCCCAGGACTATTCTGTAACTGCCCGTCGGTGCTCCTCAATCCCTTCCCCTCTCCCCCCCGCCCCCCATCAGCATCATCTCTAAAGGTGTCTTTCTTGACAAGGTTGTCTCTTTGTGTGAAAACAGAGCATATCTTCTGAAAACAGGAATATCCATCAAACGGTTCTCCCTTTTAGTGAAAAGAGGAATGACTGGAGCAGGTGCAGGGATAGTGGGCTGGTGCCGTGCGTGCCAAGCCCCGGAGGCTGGGAGCCAGGGCTGCTGGCAGGGCTGGGGTAGGCGCCTGGGAGGAGGTGGACACAAAGGCCACACAAGGGAGAGCCATGCCCTGCGCTGGCCTGATTCCGAGGCCCGCACGCACGGCAGCCAGAAGCAGCGGCGAATGCAGAGATGAGCTTTTGTGAAGGAACCAAAGAGCAGAGCGAACAGGAGGGAAGGGAAAGTACCTGGGAGTCATTTTTTCAGATGGGGAACCAAGAACAAGGGACTTCGTTCCTGTGGGTAGGCGTTTAAATACTGGTCCGACAGCAGGGACCTCAGGGTTTCTCTTCTTTCTTTGGAAAGGAAGTGGGGGGCGGGATTGGGGAGGGATTCTGGGAAAGGGGAAGGGCCAGGTAGGAGGAGGCCAGGTGGCGTGTGTGGAGTGTGGCGGTCGCAGAGCCCTTACCTGATCCCTGTGGTAACTAGAGGCTAATAAGCGAGGGCCTCAGCTTATTGTCCCCACTGGGCCACCTGGGCGGGAGGTGTGGCCCTTGGTGATGAACGCTGATCTGTGTCGTCCGGGGCGCTTTCCTAATGGCGCCTCCTCTTGCCTTGGCTTCCGCAGGCTACTTCTTGGGCCTGAACGACCTGATCGTGTCCTCCCTGGAGCTGACCGTGCACGCGGGTGAGCCCGCCCTGCTGGGCTGCGTGTTCCAGAGCGTGGAAGGGAAATGCGTGACCAAGGTCGACTGGACATTCTCACCCAGGGAGCATGCCCAGGTGACGAGGAGGACACAGGGCCGAGCTGTGGGAGCCTTGCCCGGGGTCGGGACGCGAGGGAGGGGGGGCAGGTCTCCAGGGGCCGTGAGGTGAGTTCAGGAGCTCGGGCTCTGGAGCGCGTCAGGACCCCTTGAGGGGGGGCGGGGCAGGTCTCCAGGGGCCGTGAGGTGAGTGTTCAGGAGCTCGGGCTCTGGAGCGCGTCAGGACCCCTCTCCGCCTGGACGTCCAGCTTGCTGCGCGTCCGCCTCCCTCTGCGAGGAAGCTGAGGTCATCATTGGGAGCTCATGGGAGGCGTGCACATACGTTTCAGTTTCTTTTCTCAATGTTGCCCTCCGTGGAGCAGCGCAGGTGCCTGGGGGGGGGGGAGTGAGCTGGGCTGCACAGTCGGTTGTGACCTCAGCACGTATGTGCGGGAGAACCTCTCGGCCTCCTTCCCAGCTGTGTGCCCCGTGGGTGTGGGCAGGTGCAGCACAGCTGCGGAGGAGGTTTCGTGGGCTCTTTGGAGCAGGAAGCAGAGCTTCTGCGGAGATGCTTCTATGTCAGGATCACTTGGGGAAGATGTCCTACTAGCATGTTATTAACAACAAGCTCCCAAGGTTTGCAAATGAAATATTATTTTTGAAGCTCAGGGCATGTTATTCCCAGAATGCTACGCTCGCTGCAATGCTCATGGCTGCGTAGTGTTACGGGAGGGATGTCCCATGTGTAGGTAGAGGTGAGAATCCCCCAGGCCTGTCCCTCCGGCCTGTGCGGCACTTCCTGTTGATGGCTCCTCGTGCCTCACTGGAAGCTGCCGAGAGGGGGGCGGACGGGGGCGAGTGGCAGCCCAGGCTGGGACTCTCACGCAGCCAGCCGGGGCGTCCCATCGTGCCTCCGATTGCCAGCTGCTCCCAGGGCTGTGGCAGAAGACGGGGTGAAGATGGGAGGTGGTTCCCACGAGCTGAGTCTGAACCCCCAGAGCGATCTTCAGAGTGGGTGCTGCATTTCACCCCCAAGGTCAGGGCCGAAAGGTGTGGCCCCTCTTTCTCCATCCCGCTCTCTGTGAGCCGTGGAGCGTGTGCATGTGAGATGCTTCCTGGCACATGATGGTGTTTGAATCCCACTCAAAATATTTCACTCTCGCCCTGGCCGGTGGGCTCAGTGGATAGAGCATCAGCCTGTGGACTGAAGGGTCCTGGGTTCGATTCCAGCCAAGGGCACATGCCGGGGTTTCAGGCTTGATTCCCAGTGTGGGGCATGCAGGAGGCAGCTGATAAATGATTCTCTCTCATCATTGATGTGTCTATCTCTGCCTCTCCCTTCCTCTCTGAAATCCATAAAAAATAAATTGCAAAAAAATAATAACAAAATATTTCCCTTTGAATGAGCACCTTCTGATGATTCACATCAGCTGACTCAGGCCCCTGATGCTGTGCCCTCCAGGCTGAGTACGTGCTGTACTATTACGCCAACCTCAGCGTGCCGGTGGGGCGCTTCCAGAACCGGGCGCGCCTGGCGGGGGCCCTCTCGCACAACGACGGTTCTCTCCTGCTCCAAGACGTGCAGGAGGCCGACCAGGGAACCTACACCTGCGAGATCCGCCTGGAACGGGAGAGCCGCGTGTTCAAAACCGAAGTGGCGCTGTACGTGCTGCCGGAGGAGCCTGGAGGTGCGTGGCCGCCGCTCAGAGGGGAGGAGGGGCTGGAGACATGAGGGCGAACCGGGCAGGGGCCGGATGTTGCGGTAGATGCCAGCCCCGGGCTCCGTGCTCAGCACAGCACGAGTCTGCAGTTAGGAGTGCTCTGCAGTTAGAGCGAGGAGGAATTCCCTAGCCGCCTGGCTCCGTGGGTAGAGCGTGGGCCTGCGACTGAAGGGTCCCGAGTTTGATTCCAGTCAGGGCACATGCCTGGGTGGTGGGCTCGATCCCCAGTAGGGGGTGTGCAGGAGGCAGCCAACCCATGATTCTCTCTCAGCATTGATGTTTCTCTCTCTCTCTCCCTTCCTCTCCGAAATAATAGAATATATTTAAAAAATAAATAAAACGAGGCTGACCGACATTATTAGTTTAGAATCTTTCATGCTCCTGAAAGTGCTGCGGGGGAAGTGCATTCCTTCCACTCACAGGCTCAGAGAGGCCCAGTGACGGCTTCCGCCGCGTTTAGTAAATGCAGATCCAGCGCTTGATCCTGTGGCCTCTGACATGCCCTTTTCACCGCGCCCACCCTTCCCGCGTTACCCACGCTGATGCCGCGGTGTGTGGATCCTGCAGTCAGCGCTCGGGGCATGCAGGGCGCGAGCAGGTTTCCCTAACTTCTTTGGTTCTCAGTTTCCCATTGGTAAACGGAGCGAGTGGCTTCAGTAGATGGTGGTGTGAGAGCTGCTCTGTGGAGCCTGGGGGTGCTCGAAGGATGAGAGCAGGGAGGGCGGATGGAGGGCCTGGCCAGGTAGGACCTCACGCTCTCACCTCCCCTACAAACTCAGCCCTTATCTTGTTCCTGATTTATTATGGGGCCGCCAGGTAAGATTTTGTTTGAAGAAAGAATTCTGCTGCTTTAAAAGGTTTGGAAACTCCAGAATTCTGCACAATTTTTGCAAGTGTGAGACAGAAGGAAACATCTGTGGCCTCAGGAACGCTCGCGGTCTAGTTGGGGCGCTGGAGTGTGCTCCCCTGGCCCCCATCCAGCTGTTTGGGACCCTCCTTTAGAGAGCTCCTCCCGCCACCCGCCTCCCGCTGGTGACGCTCATCCCTGCTCAGCTGTGTCTGCCCCATCACCTGGGTTTGTGTTTTTTGTCCCCTTACCAGCCTTGACCGGCTCCTTTTGTCCCCTGACGGGCACAGAGGGAGCGATTAACAAACACTTACGAATGAATGAGATTCTTGAATGTGCCCCTCACTGGAGTTTGGCGTCTGAAAACTGGAGTTGTAGATGGTAGCTTGGCCTCTCTCCTAATTTATTTATGTATTTATTTATTTATTTTACTTTTCTTCAATTGTCATTTTTCTGATTCCCAAGCTATGACCCCCTGGGAAGAGGACAGCAATCAGCTGCCCGTGTCCCCTGGGCTTGCCTCGGGACCATGGCTGTCTGCTCTGTCTCTGATGCCACGCCCCAACACGTGTCCACACAAGTGTGGCCCACAAAACGGGGCCTTTTCCTGTTTAGAAGAAACGCAGAGGGAACGAAGCAAAAGGAGCAGACTCCAGGCGTCGAACCCGTCCGCACAGCGGGGACATTTGTGGGGTAGTTAGATGTTCCCCAGGGTTGTGTCTACTTTCCCCTCGTGCCGGATGGGAGTAGACCCAGCTCCTCGCCTCGCGCGGCCCGTGCCGCTGCCCTCCTCTTCCCTGGACAGCGCCGTCTGTGCAGTGGCTCTGATTTTCTCCACCAAGTGACCCTTCAGCTTGTAATTTTTCTGAGTCTAGGGCTTTAGTTCTTTTTTTCACCGTTCTTATTTAAACACTATAGACAATATTCTTACAAATAAAAACAATACCAGTTCCTGTTCGGCTGCTCTGGGGCGGCCGTCCTTCCGCTCTGAGGTGTGGAGTGAGGGAGTGAAAGCTGGGCGTGTGCCCGCTCAGGCGGCCCTGGCCTCTCAGGTTCACCCTCTGTGCACGGGGAGGGTCCGAGTGAGTAGCTCCAAGTCTTGTAATGCCCAGTCACAGGCTACGCACGGGTGCCTCCCGCATGCCTGCTGCATTGGGAGGATTCAGAGGGTTCACTATTATTATTGCCTTTAAAAAACAGTTCAGTTTTTAAAATATACACATTTTTATTATTGATGTCAGAGAGGAAGGGAGAGGGAGAGAGAGAGAAACATCGATGAGAGAGAATCATTGATCGGCTGCCTCCTGCACTCCCCATGGGGAACTAGCCCACAACCCTGGCATGTGCCCTGACCAGGAATCGAACCGAGACCTCCTGGTGCAGAGGTCGACGCTTTAACCACGGAGCCACGCCAGCCGAGCTAGAGGTCAGTTTGTAATGCGTGGCTAGAATTCGAGGGCGTCCCCTCCTCTCCTGGTGTCTTTGGAGTGAATTTTTATGACTTTCAGAACAGTTCCCTCTGCAGAGTTCCGAGTTCATCATGTTTTCGTTGGCTTCGCTCTCATTCTGCACTTGTCCTGCTGGGCAGGAGGCTCGTTCTCTGCGGGGAATGGGCCGAGAGGTGGCTGCGCCTTTGCTCCTTCCTGAGCTTGGCTAGGGCTCTTTGGAAGGAGCTTTGTCCAGTTAAGACCTGGGCTCCTGCCTCCCTGAGCACCGCCCTCCCCTCCCTTTCTTCACTGGCTTTGTGTTTGATTTGGGTCGGGCAGCATCAAAAAAATCAGCACATCTTCCTCGTTGTTTTCTTTTCCAAGGGCCTCTTGCAATGACTTACACAGTACACACGTGATGGGGTCAGCTGCGCACAGAATAAGCGGAAGAGGAGCCCAGGACTTGCAAAGCCAGAAGCAGGGGAAGTGGGAGCAGGCCGGAGGGTGGGGCAGGGAGTGAAACAGAAACAACATCCAGAGGAAAACTGTCTGTTGTCTTGGCCTAATTAGTAAGGAGTCCTGTGACCTGCTCTGTAGCCAGAACTGTCCTAAGCAAATCCTAAGGCAACTTGTAGAAAGAAAGGAAGTAGAGGAGAGCCACCTGTGACTCAGTTCTTCAGCCGGGGCCCAGGGGGTTATCCTATACTAGAGGCCTGTTGCAGGAAGATTCCTGCAAGAATAGGGCTTCCTCGGGCCTATTCCTGCAAGAACAGGGCTTCCTGAGGCCAGAGTGAAGCAGAGAAGGGAGCAAAACTGGAGGTGGGCTTCGCTCCCTCCCTTCCCCGCCGCCTCGGCTCCCGCCCGTGTCCTCTGCTTCACCTCCCTCCCGTGTCCGCCGCCTTGCTCCCTCCCGTCTCTGCTACCTCCGATCCGTTCCCTTCTCCGCCGCTTGGCTCCCTTCTGCAGTGCTTGGCTTCCTTCTACACTGTCTTCAGTCTTCACTGGGCCCCTGTGTATGCAAATTAACCGCCATCTTTGTTGGGTTAATTTGCATACTCTTCTGATTGGCTGGTGGGCGTAGCGAAGGTATGGTCAATTAGCATATTTGTCTTTTATTAGTGTAGATCAGGGGTCCTCAAACTTTTTAAACAGGGGGCCAGTTCACTGTCCCTCAGACCGTTGGAGGGCCAGACTATAGTTTAAAAAAAAACTATGAACAAATTCCTATGCACACTGCACATATCTTATTTTGAAGTAAAAAAACCAAACGGGAACAAATACAATATTTGTATTTGCATGTGGCCCGTGGGCCCTAGTTTGAGGACCCCTGGTGTAGATAATAAAAGGCTAATATGCAAATTGTCCCCTCCACTGGGACTTCAACTTGGAGTTCGACCAGGGGGCAGGGCCACCAGCCAACTGCCTGTGGCCCCTCCCCCCCCCACCAGCCTGGCCCAATCAGCCCTAATTGGGTTGGGCTGGCCGGACCCTGCCTGTGCACAAATTTGTGCACCGGGCCTCTAGTGTATGTATAAGAATGAGAGTGCTGTACCTTCCCACTTCCTGTTTATGCGAAGCAGATGTGGGAACCTCAGGAGGTGGGCAGAAGGTGGTGGCCTTCACGCTTTCTTGTACTGTCTTCAGTAGGAACTTGAAGTGGAGTGGGGCCCATGTGAGGGAGAAGGGAACTGAAGACCAGGAAGTGTTTGTCGTACGAAGACAACAGGACTCTCGCCTTGATGTGCATGGGTGGCTGGAGGGGCTCTTTTCCTTGGGAGCACCGTGTGGTGTGAGGGGAGGCTTCTGAATTCGTGGTCCATCCGGACCATCTGGGCCATCCGTGGAGAGGATGTGTGTAGTGTTGGTTGGTAATGTTGACCTTACTGTGGAGAATCTTTGGCTAAATGTTATCTCTTCTAGAAGTTCTATGGCCTCTATTGATTGTATCTTGGGTTTGACCTGATTTATCCTTTTATCCCCAGAGCTCACAGTCTATGTGGGTGATTCAGCTCCGATGGGCTGTGCTTTCCAGAGCACGGGAGAGAAGCTCATGACCAAGGTCGACTGGACGTTCTCACCAGGGAAGCATGCCAAGGTAAGGAGGAGGGCCCGCCTCTGTGTGGTAGGAGCCCCTGGCTGGCAGTATCAGGACGGTGGGGGAATCTAGGCATCCGGTGCCATGTGGTGGCATGACTGGGCCACTTGGCTGGGCCACTTCAGCTTTTTGGTGGGAAAAATAACTCTAATGAATATGCCAAGATAATGAAGAAGGAACCTTAGCTGATGTGGCCCAGTGGATAGAGCATTGGCCTGCGGACCAAAGGGTCCCAGGATCGATTTTGGTCAAGGGCACGTACCTCGGATGCAGGATCCTCCCCAGCCTGGGCCCCAGTCAGGGTGTGTGCAGGAGGCAACCAATCAATGTGTTTCTCTCACATCAATGTTTCTCTCTGTCTTTCCCTCTCCCTTCCACTCTCTCTAAAAATCAATGGGAAAATATCCTGGGGTGAGGATTAAAAAAAATAAAAAAAGATAATGAGGAAGGAGAAGGAGGGCGAGGAGGAGGAGGAGGAGGAGGAGGAGGAGGAGGAGGAGGAAATGCATAGCTCGTCTGGCAGTGGAGACTTGTATGAGGTGGTGCGTGTGAGGCATCTGTGCATGGCTCAGCCACTGTGTATCATTTCCCCCTCTCTCCCTTCTTCTCTTTGTGGAGTTCCTGGGAGAGAAGGCAGGGTTTCTGTGGCCTAGGCAGGAAAGCTATGGGCCGGAGAGAAGAACGACAACTGTGTTCTTATGTAGTTACTTTTGTGAGTTTTCTTCTGCCCGCCATTGCCCCACTCATGGGGTGGAGAGAACCCCCTGTGGTCAGGGGGCCCCAGATGCTGGGACTGTAGCTCCCAGGGGCCGGGGCGAGGAGCATGTCCTGCGAACCCTGAAGCTGTAAAATAGCACGTTCGTTCACGAAACCAGGGATGTCTCTGTGGCGGGTGAGGTGCTCCTGGGCCCCGCTGTGTAATATAATATATTACTGTTAATATAAGTTAAGGCGGACACTTTATGCAAGTTTTAGCTTTTATAAATTAAGACAGAGGTCATCCCTATAAAAGGTCACTGAAATTCACTCGATTCCTCTCTGCTCTGAGGGTCAGGAAGGGCGGCATCGAGTGGCCTGCGGGGAGGTCCGAGTAGTCTCGGGCCGCCGCTGGGAGCTTGTCATGCACTTACATGTCAGCCACCAGTGAGTCCCCACAGCAAACAGGTGAGAACTGACATTCTGAGCTGTGAGTTTGAATCACAAGCGGTAAGAGGTTAGGGCGAGGCCTTTTGATTCGTCTTTGTCTGTACAGCCATCCCCGTTTCTTCTCCTAAAAGCTTTTAAAAATGCGAATGTTTATGTTCCTTATTTTAAAAATGCCAACATGTCCTCATTTAATGAGTGCTTTTGGGCATCTGCTGTGCAGTGAAAGCCCCGCCCTGACGGGGAACCCCCCCCGGGGGTGGGGGGAGCCACAGTCAGCTAATGCAGGGGCAGCTGCAGCCCATCAGTGAGGAGACCTGGAGAAGGAGCCGCAGGGTCTTGCTGCTGCTTGCACAGGCCTCGGGGAGGCCTCGCCGAGCAGGTGGCATCGGAGCAGAGGTCCAAGGAAGGAAGGGATGAGCCATGTGCATGTCTGGGGAGAGGAATGTCCAGGTGTACAGAGCAGCACGTGCGAAGGCCCTGAGGCCGCGACTCAAGGGGCAGCGAGGAGGTCAGTGAGGCTGGAGCACAGTGACCCAAGTCGGCGCGAGAGCAAGTGGGCGATGGGCTCCGAGGAGGGGGCCTGTGGAAGTGCAGGCACACTGGAGTGTTTGCAGAGGAGGAACATGCTGTCACTTACGTTTCTAACGACTCGTCTCCTGGGATTGGACGGCTTGGGAGCACATGGGAGACAGTGAGGAGTCCGGGTGAGAAATGGCCCGAGGAGGAGGTGGGAAGGGGCTGGAGGTGAGGTGCCAGGGAAGGTCGCGGTGAGGGGTGAGATGTTCAAGGAGGAGGGAGCGAGGGTGACTCCGAGAGGTGCAGCCTGAGCCTGTGAGGAAGGCGCCACTCACAGAACCGTCGAGGAAGGCCTGGGCGGGAGCCCGGAGCGCAGTGCTCGACCCGCTGCCACTTCCCGGGAAGCCGCCTGGACAGGGCAGCGAGCGTGAAGCTGCGCCGTACTTCTTCGTCCTGGAGACGAGTGGAAAGCGAAAGCCCGTTCTCACTTCCTCGTCCCTCTCTCCCGATGGACCGTTGTCCTGACGTGGGAGTGCGCTGTACTTCTTCGTCCTGGAGACAAGTGGAAAGCGAAAGCCGTTCTCACTTCCTCATCCCTCTCTCCCGATGGACCGTTGTCCTGACGTGGGAGTGTCCTTCCCGACGACACAGACCCGCACACGTGTGTGTGTGTTCACACCGTCCTTGCTGACAACACCGGTGCTGCTTACACATTCGCCCCCCCGCCCCCCGCAAGCTCACGCGTTTCTCCTTTGCCTCTAGGAGGAGGTGATGCTGCGCTATTACGCCACACGCGGCGGGCCCGCGGGGTACTCCCAGAGCGGGGGCCGCTTCCGGAGCCGCGTGGCCCTGGCGGGGGACACAGCGCACAACAACGCCTCCGTCCTGCTCCGAGAAGCGCGGGAGTCCGACACAGGAAGCTACACCTGCAGCATCCACCTGGGGGACCTGACTTTCAGGAAAACCTTTGAGCTGCACGTGATTCAGGAAGAGCCCCGAGGTGTGTAGCGTGTGCTGGGGAGCGGGGTGGGGGGCGTGGCTGGTTAGCAGGACCAGGACTAGCGAGGCCCGGGGCTCGCAGGGTGCGAAACGTCAGGAGGCGTCACTCGCGGGTGCTGCCCCCGTACTTGCACGGCCCTGAGACGGTGCCTCTTTGTTTTTTGTTGTTGTTGTTTTTTAAATATATTTTATTGATTTTCCACAGAGAGGAAGGGAGAGGGATAGAGAGTTAGAAACATCGATGAGAGAGAAACATCGACCAGCTGCCTCCTGCACACCTCCCACTGGGGATGTGCCCGCAACCAAGGTACATGCCCTTGACCGGAATCGAACCTGGGACCTTTCAGTCCGCAGGCCGACGCTCTATCCACTGAGCCAAACTGGTTTCGGTGGCTGGTGCCTCTTTGAATGTGGTGCCCTGGGCAGCTTGGGGGCCTCACCCTAGTTCTGGCCTTGCTGGTCGGTCAGTGAAAAGGAGCCAATACGTTCAGGGAGCCCGGCCCGCTGCCAGGCCTCTCCGTGGCCAGCGCCGTCTGACAGCTTAAAGGTCCGGGCCGCAGGTGGACTGGAGTTGAAGTTCAGACCGTTTTGACTGTGTGCTCTGGGGTGGAGGGTGAAGGGACCCTGAGCTGGTGGGAGCAGCAAAGAACAGAGAAACAGGAAGGCACCAGAACCAGAAGTAGGTGGGGGGGTTTTCTGATCAAAGGCGCTGTGTTCTGGGAAACACAGGCATTGAGGCCGGCGTGGAGGAGGACAAAGGCTGGGTTGTGTTGACTGAGAGGTTGCTAAGTGAGGGTTAGAGTTAAACCTTAACCCAGTTAGCAGCCAGGATGTGGCTGTGGAGTCTGCATTGCACCAGGGCCCTCAGCGCTTGGCTGTGGTTGGCTGAAGGGGGGTTGGGGGCAGGATGGAGCTCACCTGATGCCCCTGGCCTGGGACTGAAGTCTGTGGAGGCACCTTCTTGTCCGTAGCAAAGGGTCCCAGCTGCAGAGGGAAGCAGGACAGACGGCCTTCTCCACCTCCGGAATCTTATCCCAATGTCACAGACTAAAGACCAGCCATAGTGGGAGCGCGTTCACCTCCCAAACCCTCCCCTCAGCGGTCTCTGTCGCCCGCCGCCCTCTGGCCCTGCCCTGCCTCCAGCCCTGTGCGCAGGTGCCTTCCCGCTCCTTCCCCCTCACGTCAGTGGCTCCTAAGGTTCAGTAAATAAATGCTCACCTCTTCCTCCTGCCCCAGGCTCCTCTGCTTAGCTCGCATCCTGTAACTTTCTTCTTTTTCTTTTGTTAATCCTCACCCGAGGATATTTTTCCATTGATTTTTAGAGAGAGAGGGGAAGAGAGAAATATCGATGTGAGAGAAACACATTGATTGGTTGCCTCTTGCAAGCCCCCAACCAGGGCCTGGGCTGGGGAGGAGCCTGCCACTGAGGTACGCGCTCTTGACCGGAATTGAACCCAGGACCCTCTGGTCCGCAGGCCGACGCTCTATCCATTGGGCAACACCGGCCAGGGCACTTCCTTTTTCTTAAAACAGCTTTATTGAGATATGAACACAGCGCACCCACTCAGTGCACAGCTCGTGGTGGGGTGTTCAGAGCTGTGCAGCCTTGACCACATCGGGTGTGTGGTTTGACGAGATGCTGGCTGCAGGGCTGCGTGTGGCGTCTCTCGTCTCACTGCCCAGCGTCTCGTTTCCTCCGCCCGCCACATCTGGCTGCCGCTGCTTCTCGCTCGGCTCCGATCCGACAGCACTCGGCACATCCCACCCCCTTTCCTTGTGGGACTGGACGCCACACACTCCGTGTGGGACACAGTCTGTCCATCTCTGTAGAGCTGTATGCGGTCCACCCAGTGCCCCCCAAGTCCTTCAAATACAAGACATCCAGCCGCGGCCACCTCTTCCCAGCCCACCTCACCCCCCACCCGCCATGAATGCTGCCACCTACCCGTTGTGCGCGCTGCTTCCCGTTCCCAGGACCCCGTCTACCCGGTGGACGGTCCTGTTGTCTGTGCCTGACTCTGAATCTGCCTTCTTCCCGTCCACCCTGCCGCCTTCGTGCTGGTGTCTTTATCTCCGTCTTGAACACAGGCCTCTGACTGGTCTCTGCTTTCATGCTTGGCTGGGGCTCCCTCTTCCTGCAGCAGCCACAGGTCCAAGCGCTCAGCCCCATCGCGATGTCCTCTCAGCGGCTTCTCGTTGCCTCCAGGACAAAAGCCAGACCCTGTATTTGTGTGTTTAGAATGAATGAGGAAACGAGTGCAGGAAAGTGCCTCCGAAGGCCTCACGTGGCGCCCTGACTGCGGGCTGAGCTTGGTAGCACGGAGCCTTGAAAAGAAGCACTTTCCCTCGGCCCGTGCGGCTCAGGGGCTGAGCGTCGACCTATGAACCAGGAGGTCACAGTTTGGTTCCCAGTCAGGGCACAGGCCCAGGTTGCGGGCTTGATCCCCAGTGGGGGGCGTGCAGGAGGCAGCCGATCCGTGATTCTCTCATCATTGATGTTTCTATCTCTCTCTCCCTCTCTGAAATCAATAAAATATATTTAAAAAACAAAATCACTTCCCATAGAAAGATCAGTAGCATCCAAGAGTCTGTTATGTCTACGTCATTTGTGACCCAGGTTTCAAGATAGAATTGTTAATGCAAAAGGGAGCTCTAGGTGAGGTGCCGTCTCTTCTCCTGCCCCGTAAGCAAGGGCGTCAGGGTTTGGTTCTCAGTCTGTAGGGACTGCAGGAGTCCTAGTGCTTCAACACGGAGTGGAGTCGGCCTTCTCCCCCACTTCCTGCCTGGCTGTGGCTGCTGCATCTATAACTGGGGGCCTCAGCCCTTTCCTGTGCACTGAGGCCCCCACTGCTTCCTCCCTCCCCAGCACTGGTGACTGCCGTGGCCCGCAGTCCCGAGGTCCTGGGCGGCAACCATCTGGTGATCATCGTGGGCATCATCTGCGTCACTGTCCTGCTGCTTCCTGTGCTCATCCTGACTGCGAGGAGGATCCATGGGAGTAAGAGGTACAGGCCGCTGGTGGTGCCAGGCTGCCTCTACCCCGAGGGGGGAGGGAAGACCGGCCCGAGCGGTGCCCTGTTCCCAGAAGGGCTGTTTCAAAAGGGCACGTCCTCTGTGGACGATGTGGTGTGAGATGCCCTTGGCATAGTCACCCGCCCCCTGCTCCCGAGGCCCGTGCTCATTCCCACACCCGCCTCCTTTGAGTCGGTGTTTTACAAAGATTAGCAGCTCCTTTACAAATGGTGGTCTAGGTCAGCGGTTCTCAACCTGTGGGTCGCGACCCCTTTGGGGGTCGAACGACCCTTTCACAGGGGTTGCCTAAGACCATCGGAAAACACATATATAATTACATATTGTTTTTGTGATTAATCACTATGCTTTCATTATGTTCAATTTGTAACAATGAAAATACATCCTGCATATCAGATATTTACATTACGATTCATAACAGTAGCAAAATTACAGTTATGAAGTAGCAACAAAAATAATTTTATGGTTGGGGGTCACCACAACATGAGGAACTGTATTAAAGGGTCGCGGCATTAGGAAGGTTGAGAACCACTGGTCTAGGTGGTCTAGGTGCAGCAGAATTCAGAGTCTAAACCTTGCCCGGCCGGTGTGGCTCAGTGGTTGAGCGTCAACCTATGAACCAGGAGGTCACAGTTTGATTCCCAGTCAGGGCACATGCCAGGGTTGTGGGCTCAATGCCTAGTAGGGGGCGTGCAGGAGACAGCCAATTGATGATTTCCTCTCATTGATGTTTCTATTTCTCTTTCCCTCTCCTTTCCTCTCTGAAATCAATAAAGACATATTTTTTAAAAAAATTTAAAGAGTATAAATCTTAAGCACAAACTATAATGGTGCCGTTCAATGCCTGAGATAAATGATTAAAAAATATTTTTACTGATTTTTAGAGAGAAAGAGAAGGAGAGGGAGAGAGTGAAAATAGAAAATAGGCCAAAATAGAAAAAAGTGTATTCAACGGGAAATGCAGAAGGCAAATGGCCAAGATATCAAAGGCCGGGGAGTGGGAAGGGGCCAGAGCGCACAGTGGGGTGCTTGTGGGGTAACTCGGCTGGGCCTTTGACCTGCTTCCCTGCTGGCCCAGTGGCACCTCCCTGGTCCTGGGAGATAAGCAAGTAGCCTGTGGCCCGGCTCTGTGCACCCACTTGCGTGGTTACAGACAGAAAGTCGGGGTGACAGTGGGGAAGGGGGCGCTGCTGCCCGGCCTCTCGGTCTCAGGACGCTCTCTGCCACCGCGAGGCGCCGCGGGCTCGGGGTGAGCTGGGGAGGAGTCCAGGGAGAACAGCCCTGCCCTGGTGCCTCTTCCCCAAGCGCCGTCGGCACCCGGACTGGCCAGTCCTGGCCGCTAACCGCCTGCATCTCCTGCCTTGCAGTGCCGGGACGTCCATGGCCCTGGTGAAGAGCCTGGAGGACAGGGACAAGCCTCCCCCCGAGGTAAGAGGAGGCTCTGCCGCTTGGCTCCCCGGCGAGGCCAGGTGAGCCCTGTGCCTATCAGGGTGGTGACGTCCTCGCTCCTACACCCGTGTCTCACGCATCCTGTGCCTCAGCACGTGGGCCAGTGGCTGGCACAGAGCCTGGCTCCGGCCTCTCACCGCTGGACTAAAGCCCCCGGCGGGGGCGGTGTGGGCCGCCGGGCCGCCCAGTGTGTGATTGTGTCCGGGGTGGGGGGAGGGGGGCCTGAGCAGAGAGCACTGGACTCGGGCCAGACAGTCCCGGTTCGGGCCCAGCCCTGCGCCCTCTCTGAGCCTGTTTGCTCATCAGTAAGAGCAGGACAAGGGCACCCAGACCTGCCCTGCCGTGGGCTCAGGTGTTGGGGTGACACGCAGGTGCTTCCTAATGCCTGAGGCTGTGTGCACAGGAGGGGGAATCAGGGCGCATTGGGGAGTGTCTGGGGGAGCCCCTGGTTAAGGGGAAAACCCAGGCCTCTTAGACAGCGAGGACCCACCAGCCCTTTTCTTCCGCTTTCGTTGTAACAGAGCTGTGAATGGTTACAGCTAGGGACTGAGAAATGGATTTGTTCCTTTGAACTCCTTTTTCTTTCTTTTTTTAACTTTTAAAACCCCCTTTGGGATGTGGACCTTCCCACCTTTTGTCTGTCTGGGCCTGGGAGTGGGGTTTCCTCATAGTGCAGGGCCTCCAGAGCCCAGAGTCTTCCACTGGATGACGTTGCTTCCCCAAGTAAAGACGGAAATGGGCGTCGCCAGTGCCCCAGCCTCCCAGGTGAGAGCCTCTGAAAGGCTGGACGACAGGTCAGTGGCTGGCTGGTGCCGGCCTCCCCGCCAGGATTAATGAGGAGGAAGTAACCATGGAGTAGATCTGATTTGGTGAGATAAGGATTCGGGCTGCTCCCTAAGGCCCATCAAACAAAGACTGTTTGGCAAAGAATTTGGTTCCTAAGATAGTGCTCTTTGCTGATGAGTTAATTTTCTTAATTTTCTGGAACATTGACGATGGAATTATCGTTATTGATGATAATTCTCTGGCTTTCAGTAACCCTCTGCGCCTGCCCGTGTGGGTGGCTGATGCCTTGTGAATCATATCAGGTGGCCTTTTCTCTGTCACAGAACCACTGAGCCCAGTGGGGGTGGATCAGCAGTTGAGTATCAACCCAGGAACCAAGAGGTCAGGGTTCAATTCCGGTCAGGGCACATGCCCTGGTTGCAGGCTTGATCCCCAGTGTGGGTGTGCAGGAGGCAGCCAATCAATGATTCTCTCTCATCATTGATGTTTCTATCTCTCTCTCCCTCTCCCTTCCTGTCTGACATCAATATAAATCCTAATATATAAAAACCCAGGGTCCGTAACAACCAACCAAAGGCTTGACCCAACACCGGAAGTCAGTCCTGCAGTCACCGTGGGTGTAGCGACCCAGTACTGACTGCTGAGCGGGCTGTGGATCAGGCCTGGAGAGAGGCCCGGAGAGAGAGGCAGGGTCTGATCTGCAGCCTCCATGGCAGCTGTTGATCAGACGTTGCCTCTCTCTTTCTCTCTGGGCTTTGCCAGCAGCCACGTCTGTTTCTCTCTGGGCCTCCGACTGGGCTGCTGATCAGCCCTGCCTCTCTGATCAGGCCCGGAGATAGGCCTGGAGACGCTGACTGGCATAGAAACCGACCAATCAGAACCAAATCTGGGTGAACTGTGAGGAGCCAATGGCTGCTTAGGAGTTGGAGCTTTTGACACTGACTGGCATAGAAACTGACCAATCAGAACCAAATTGGCCAGCAGGGGAGGGCAGTTGGGGGCGAGATCAGGCCAACAGGGGAGGGCAGTTGGGGGCAACCAGGCTGGCAGGGGAGGACAGTTGGGGGCGAGATCAAGCCGGCAGGGGAGGGCAGTTAGGGGCAATCAGGCTGGCAGGCAGAGGCAGTTAGGAGCCATCGGTCCCAGATTGCAAGAGAGATGTCCGACTGCCAGTTTTGGCCTGATCTCCCTAAACTGGCAGTCAGACATCCTCCAAGGGGTCCCCAATTGGAGAGGGTGCAGGCTGGGCTGAGGGAACTCCCCCCCCCCATGCACGAATTTCATACATTGGGCCACTAGTATATATATAAAAAGTAGAACCACTGATTTTCAGGAACGTTTTACCATTTTCCCCTGTAGAAGCACGTTTACTCCTCAATCAACACGTGGGAGGTGACCAAGGAAGAAGAATCAAGTGACAGATCAGAGGCCACCTACATGACCATGGTGAGGAGGGGCCGGGTGTCTGGAGGCGGAGGACCTGGGGGGGAGGATACAGCTGGGACATGGGGGGGATACAGCCGGGACCTGGAGGGAAGATACAACCAGGACCTTGAGGGAGGATACAGCCAGGACCTGGGGGGATATAGCCGGGACCTGTGGGTGTGTGCGGATACAGCCAGGACCTGGCGGGAGGATACAGCTGGGACCTGTGGGGAGGATATGGGGGAAGAGATGGCCAGGACCTGGAGGGGTGGGATACAGCCAGGACCTGCTGGGGGGAGCTGCTGAGGGCAGAGTTTTCTAAGCGGCAGGAAAGTCAGACGCTGAAGCTCTGCTGGATAGAAGAGTCATTCCAAGGTGCCTTCACGCCCAGCCTTGAGTACGAGGGGCATGAAGGCCAGAGGTGGTGGATTTTAGGGGTGAAGAGGGAACTTCAATGTGGGATGACACGGTGCCTCTGCCCCATCAGTAGGGCCTGACAAAGAGGGCACCATGGGTCCTTGCTTAGGTCCTATGTCAGGTTAAATACACCCTCATGAAGGGGCGCCGTTGATCCTTGGACAGCGCTGTTGTAAGGGCAGACTCGCAGATGGCGGGCAGGCACACAGCGCTGTGGGCTGGGGAGGCGGGAGGGTCTGGGGGGTGGGGGATTGAGGGAAGAGAAGAGAACTCATGGCCATGGACAGCAGTGTGGCAGTGGCTGAGGAGGGTGGTGGAGATGGAGGAGGGCAGAGGGGGGCCCTCCCAGCTCCTAGATTTCTTCACTCTGAGAGCGACTTCTTACGCGTTGGCCTCACCTAACTGCCGGGAGGGCTGCACACTGGATCCCATAGAATCACGAGGAGCTGGTTCCTTTTCGCTCTTGGCTCAGTTCCCCAGGGAAGCATAGCAGCTGAAGGAGGCACCTTTGTGTAGGGAGCGGGGCAGGGCAGAGGGTGAGTGGCAGGACAGGCTGCTTGTGGACTAACCATAGGCCCAGGCCCCCAGGAGCGCAGGTTCCGCTGTGCGGGTGATGGCTCGTGCGCTTCCTGCTGACCCGGGGCTGAGGACACATGACTCCCCGCGGACACAGCCCGGGAGGCTCTCCAGGGACGCGAGGTCGGGGCCTGGCCTGGTGCCTACGGCTGGAACAGTAGCTCCTCTCTGGAGCCGCAGTCGGATATAGTCACCCCCCTCGGCCATCACTGCCCTGTGACCTGCTGTGTGGTCTGTAGGGACCTCCGGCCCAGCTGCCCTGAGACCTGCTGACGCAGCCGCCCTGGCTCCTGCCCCGCGGGGTTCACAGAGGCTGTGGGAGGAGGTGGGTGCGAGTTGTCTTCGAAGCTCCCTGCCCAGGTTCAGTGGTAGGTGCTTCTAATTTATTCTTTTATTTTTACTTTTTTATTTTTTATTTTTTGCTTTTTTATTTTTACTTTTATCACCTGAGGATATTTTTCCATTGATTTTTAGAAAGAGTGGGAGGGAGAGAGAGAGAGACAGAGAAACACCAATGGATTGGTTGCCTCCTGATGCCCCTGAGCAGGGCCAGGAGCCTGCGACGGAGGTGTGTGCCCTTGACCGGAATCGAACCCGGGACCCTTCAGTCCACAGGCCGATGCTCTATCCACTGAGCACAACTGGCCGGAGCGGTGCTTATAATTTAAACTGCAGGAAATAGCACCTCTGTCCTCTTAAAATGGGCCGCCAACTCCTGGGCCATCAGGGCTGGTCAGGTTATTGAAATAAGCTCGGGGCGGACTCCGCCTGCAGGCCATTGTTTGGACCTCAGGGGCAGGAGCAGGGCTAACACAGAACCTTTGATTTTGTTGTTGAGTTGATGTAAATGAAGGGGCCCCATACCGGGTCCCTTTCTCAGCTTGTACAGCAAAGTGGCTAAGATCACAGCTTTGGAGCTGGGCTGACCCACAGGTCCAAATCCTGACTCTGACTTAGAAGCGAGGTGACCTTGGGCAGGTAACTTAGCGTCTCTGAGCCTCGGTTTTCTCATCCTTAAAATGGGAATAATATTACCTACTTCCCGGGTGGGGCCGGATGGGCGGAAAGAGCTCCGTATGGGGTGACTGTTCGGATTTAAATACGTTTCACAAATTGCTTTGTGCTGCTTCCTTCCCTTCCCTGCAGCACCCAGTGTGGCCTTCAGCACTGAATTACCCGCCTGAGAAAAAGTGGGCCGAGGGAGTGCCCCTAACAGGGCAAGCCTTTTAAGAAGAGTCCCCTCACCTTCACGAGGCAGAGGCGCCCCTGTGTGGCCTGTCCCTGTGCCAGTCATGCAGACCGCCCCCCCCCCGCCCCCCGCCAGCTCTCCTGCCTCCCTGGCTGCCCCGAGGCTGAAGATGGCCACAGACGGGGGCCCTCTGGAGCGGACCCTGGCTGAGCTGCCCCAGCTGCACCAAGCGCCCCATCCGATCAGTCCCTCAGGTTGAATGTGATCCTGGGAAGAATCGCAGTGAAAACCACCCGAATGTTTCCTGTGGCACATCGCCCCTAAATAAATGTGTTCTGTGGATGTCATCCTGTCGTCGTCCCCTGGCTGGGGCGAGAGGAGTGGGACCCTGAGTCAGCCGAGGGGACTGGGAAAGTTTTGGGGGGTTGGAAGTGGGGTATGAATACACCTCTAAAATGTAAGCCAGCGCTTCTTTAAAACACACACACACACACACACACATAATTGATTTTAGAGAGGAAGTGAGAGGGGGAGAGAGAGAATCATCGATGGGCTGCCTTCTGCAGGCCCACACTGGGGATCAAGCCCACAACTGGGCATGTGCCCTGACTGGAAATTGAACCCTGACCTCCTGGTTCATAGGTGGATGCCCAGCCACTGAGCCACGCCAGCTGGGCACACCAGTGCTTCTTAACTCTGGCTGGGTGCAGAGTGGCTGGTGGCTCTGCGGAGCCTCACAGAGGCCCCCGGAAGTCCCGGGTGGAGCGTGGGCATTTGTCTCTTTCAGAAGCGATGCTCACAGGTTGCCAAGGTACGTAGCCATCGACTTAACTGTTGGTCTGAAATGCGAGGTCCCTATACCTCTGGTTACCATTACAAGATTCATACGGTTAGTTTTTAAAATCTCTGGTTCTGAGCTCCGATTTCTAGCCTGGGCTCAGCTCACGTCCCTCTCGCCTCCTGTGGGCCCCTCCTCGTCCTCTGTCCCCCGGCCTCCCCTTGGGCTGTCAGGGTGGGGGAAGAGGCCGTCACGCTTCTCAGCTTCTGGTACAAGTTCGAGTGGAGCTACCTTTCTCAAAGCGTCCTCTAACTCTAACCGTCAGCGCCCTCTCATCACCACGCACCAGCAGCGCCTCTTTCCCGCTGTTCTGGGGTCTCCACTTGGAGGCCTCTTCTTGCTCTTGCTCAGCCAGGGCTAAGGGTCATTAAATACCGTCTCCTTGCCCCGGCCAGTTTGGCTCTGCCTAGGGCGTCGGCCTGCCGCCCACAGGGTCTGGGTTGGATTCTGACCGGTCTCACGTACCTCGGTTGCAGGTTCCTGGTCAGGGCTCGCCAGGAGGCAACCAATCGATGTGTTACCTTCACATCGATGTTTCTCTCTGTCTTTCCCTCTCTCTTCCACTCTCCCTAAAAATCAATGGAAAAATATCCTCAGGTGAGGATTACAAAAAATAAAAAATATTGTCTTCTTACCTTTAACTCTAAATGAAGACAGTGCCAATAGTTTCACTATGTGCTTTGAAGGCAATACCCTGTCCAAGACTTACCAGCGGGGACACACGGTGACACGAGGAAGTGGCTTCCTTTCTGGGCTATTAAGCAATGTGTTGTCCTGGCTAGGTGGCCTTTTCTACTTCCTCAAACCCTGGCTGCATAGGGTTAGGTGGGGGGACGGTGGTTTCGCAACTGCTGCTCTGGGTCAAAGAGAGTAGCTGGGGCGAGAGCTGGCGGGTGGCCGAGCAGCTCCCACAGGCCCTGCCCTGTGCACACACCCTCCAGGGTCTGACTTGCCCAGATTTGAATTTGATTCTTTCAAGGCTTGGCTTTTATCCTGGGCTCAGCAGCTGTCACTGAGGGGGGAGAAGGAGGAAGCCCACTCCCCCATCCTACCTCCCCACGAACCTTCCTCTTGTCCCAGGACGGAGTCACGGTTGAGAGGAAGACCACAGCTCTCAGAAACGAGCCTTGCCTAAAACCCATCTCCCTCTGGGGCCGAGAGGAAGACCTGCTTACCCCTGCGTGCCTTCTCCTGGGATTGTCTGTCACACGCAGGAGCCTGGAGGCCTAGGCGCAGGGAATGGGCTTTGTGGTCCAACGAGCCTAGTTCGAATCCTGCTCTCTCTTCAGCATTGCAGTGTTTACTTCAACTCTTGGAGGCTGTTGCCCTACACAGGCAATGGGGGCGCGGGCATTTTGGGGGGACTACACGAGGTCCCGTAGGGACGGTGCTGGTCTGAGCCTCCACCGCTCCAGTGTAGTTTCCCCAGGGGGGTGTTTCTTCTGCTGACTCAGTCCCCATCTCTCATTCATTTTTTAATTTTTTATTAAAAAATATATTTTTATTGATTTCAGCAAGGAAGGGAGAGGGAGAGAGAAACATCAATGATGAGAGAGAGTTATCCATCAGCTGCCTCCTGCAGGCCCCACACTGGGGCTCGAGCCCCAACACAGGCGTGTGCCCTGCCGGAGTCGGACTGTGACCTCCTGGCTCACAACTGGACGCTCAGTCACTGCACCACGCGGGCTGGGCTCTCACTCACGTTTTATTCTTTGTGCAGGAAGCTCTTTAACCCAAAATACCCACGTTCCTCTTCCCATCGGAGAGAGAGAGTTAGGAGCTGAGCTCAGCGAGAGCTTTGCACACTTGGCGGGACCTTCCGAAGGGCCGGAGGCCACTGGAGGCGGAGCAGCTAGGCCTCCTGTGGTAGGCCCTGCAGCAGCAGTGTCCGACATGAATGTGCTGGAGAGGGTGGGGCTGCCCATAAACAATGAAGAATCCAGCCCTGGCCTGTTTGGCTCAGTGGTTGGAGGGTCAGCCTGCGGACTGAAGGGTTGTGGCTTTGATTCTGGTCAAGGGCATGTACCTGGTTGCAGGTTTGGTCCCGAGCACCGGTTGGGGCGCGTGCAGGAGGCAACCGGTCGATGCATCTCTCTCACATCGACGTTTCTCTCTGTCTCTCCCCCTCTCTTCCACTCTCGCTAAAAATCATGGGAAATATCCTCGCGTGAGGATCATGAAGAATCTAGTAGCACCAGAGTTTGGCCTGCCGCCGCCGCCAGCCCTGCAGGCTTTTGTTGCTCGCTGCCACCCCACTCTTTTTTCCCTTTGCCGGGTCAGTGTGCTGACATGTCAGCATTAGCCTTTTTTAAAAAAAGTTTTTTGTTTTACTTATTTAATTAATTTATTTATTTTTTATTTATTTTGGTTAATCTTCACCGAGGATATTTTTCCTTGATTTCTAGAGAGAGTGAAAGGGAGAGGGAGAGACAGAGAGAGACACACATCAATTAGTTGCCTCCTGGGCTGAGGAACCTGCAACCCAAGTACGTGCCCTTGACCAGAATCGAACCTGGGACCCCTCAGTCCGAGGGCCGATGCTCTATCCACTGAGCCACACCAGCTAGGGCTACATTAGCCTTTAAACACACACACACACACAAACCCCACTGTGTGAGTGTGTGTGAGTGTGTGTGTGTGTGTGAGTGTATGTGTGTGTGAGTGTGTGTGTGTGTGTGTGAGAGTGTGTGTGTGTGTGTGAGTGTGTGTGAGTGTGTGTGAGTATGTGTGAGTGTGTGTGTGCGTGTGCACGTGGCAGGGGTCAGGCAGCTGCTGAATCAGCTCAGTGACTTAGACCCAAAGCACCTTAGGTTGCAAGTTCTCTCCCACGAGACCAGCGGCCCTCTCCCTAAGGATAAACCCAGTTTCCCAGGACGACCGACCCGTCCCAGCCAGTGGGTTTGCAAATGTGGTCTGGTCTTCCGCAGGGGGGTCAGGCAATCGTTACCACTTCTGTAAAACCAACTCGCAAGACGTCTCTTCTCTCTTAAAAAGTGAGAGAACTTGCATTTTCTCAGAAAGCAAAGGCCTTCGTGTGAGAGCAACTGTGGTGCCGCCCGGGAACCTTCGGAGTGCCTGCCTGAGCCCCACCTCGGTGCCTGCGCCTCCTGGAGGCAGGTGCGGTCCTGTCGGCCCAGCCGCCCCTTCCTCTGTTTTCGTGGCAGGAATCTTATTTTTAAAAAATATATATATTTTTATTGATTTCAGACGCCGCCCGGGAACCTTCGGAGCGCCTGCCTGAGCCCCACCTCGGTGCCTGCACCTCCTGGAGGCAGGTGCAATCCTGTCGGCCCAGCCGCCCCTTCCTCTGTTTTCATGGCAGGAATCTTATTTTTAAAAAATATATTTTTTTATTGATTTCAGAGAGGAAGGGAGAGGGAGAGGGAGAAACATGAACGATGAGAGAGAATCATTGATTGGCTGCCTGCTGCAGGCCTCACACTGGGGATCTAGCCCGAAACCTGGGCATGTGCCCTTGATGGGAATCAAACCTAGGACCCTTCAGTCCACTGGCCAATGCTCCATCTACTGAGCCACACCAGCCAGGGGCATGGCAGGAATCTTCTGATACAAACACCCGTGTCTTTCCCGCTCCTGTGCCTGTGCTCTTGGTGCCCCCTGCCTGGATTGCCTTTCCCTCCTGCCAGCCGTCAGCATGCCTTCAGGGGCAGCTGAGTCCTGCCCGCCGGGCCCAGCTGCTCTCACATCTTCTGGATGTTTCTGCTTTCCGGAGTGCATCTTCTGAGGCTGTCTGGTTATTTTTATGGGAGCGGGGCTGTAATCTCTCGCAGAGCTCCTAAGCTCTTAGAGACCTACGTCGGGTCAGCAGGGACCCCGTGGGGACAATCCGTCCTTGAACAGTTCCCAGGGCCGGAGAGGCCCCGCGTGCCCAGGAGCCGCACCTGCTCCCACCTGGCCCACCTGTGCGAGGCTGCGAGAGGCCAGGCTGGCGGGGTGCTCCCTTTCTCTGGATGTAAAACAGGCATTTGTTCATGCGCATCTGCTGGGGGACCAGGCCAGGCCCAGCACGGACTCAGCTGTAAGACACGTCCCTGTCCTCACAGAGCTCAGTCTGCCTGGGAGGTGGGGAGCGTCACAAAGCGGACAGCACTCTCCGCTGGTCGGCACGGCCCGAGAAATGCCAGGAGCGCCTGTGTCTGTCCTTGGCAACGGGCTGTGCTCCTCGCTCTGTGGAGAGCTTAGGCCTTTGTCTCCCCATCTGGACTGGGAGCTCTCGGGGGCGAGCTGTGGCTCACTCGTTGCTGGGTCTCCAGTTTCCAGCTGGGTGCCTGGCACGTACGGGGCATTAAATAGATACTCGAGTTTGTTGGATGAGGGACTTGATAAACAAATGAGTGAGTGTGCCCCGTGTCACAGGAGCAAAGAGAGAGGAGGTGAGTAGAAGACGGGAAGTTGGTGACTCTGCAGCAGATACTTAAAGGAAGACTAGGTGTTGGCTGAGCGGGCAAGAGAGTGTTACCGGGAACCCCCGGGCGGGCTCGGGCTGCC